AATATCTTTGTGAAACCTTATCTTATCTTATCAAGAGTACCTTTTTTAAAGTAAATGAGTTGCGCAATCTAAATTTCATACTCAAACTCCTTTTCTTCCATTGGCGTAGAATTTTTAAAGGTGCAATTATTTAAAAAATCAAGTTCTACGCCTATGTATTATTATCGGACAAAATTTTAATACCATTTTTTGCCACATAAAACTCTACCAATATACCAAATTTCAGCAAAATCGCATATGCCGTTTTAAATTTATATGGGAAAAACGATTTAAAAATTGTAACTTCAAGGCCCTCTGGAGCCCAAACGAAGCAATTTTGTACTAAGGTAATTTTACTTAAATCGACTTATTTTGGTCTAAGGAGTATGTGGTATGTTTTTGTAAATACCTTTTACAGACACCCTGTATATCACTGTTGCTTAAAGTGGTCATTAACTGGACGGTTCACCCTATTTTCACTCATAAGCGTTTTTTATTATTAATACTTTTATCTTTAAAATTTATTTTAAACGCTGTTTTATAAATAAAAAAAAAGGTAAGTAGTTAATCCAAAATGAATTCTCGGTAATTGATTTGTTTTTTTCTATTACATGGGAAATAATTAAGCAACTGCCTCACGCGCAGCTGTTATCGTGTGTTCTTCTTTGTGGCATATAGTCCATTTAAAATAACGGTAAAAGGTCGAGAAACGCCGCACTTGACGAGACCACTTGTCTCCTACGTATTTTGGGGCCCTAAATAGGGTTGTTTTTCGACTGTACTTGTTGTTTTGTAAACTAACTCATCTCATATGTTTTTTTGGGGCGCTGATTACGAAAATCGGGGTTCAAACTTGCAGCAATGGTTGAACCACCCTTAAAATTGCAAAAAACACCCCTAATTAGGGGTGCAATTTTAGGTGTGTTTTTTGCAATTTTTGGGGTGGTTCAACCATTGCTGCAAGTTTTAATCCCGATTTTCGTAATCAGCGCCCCAAAAAAACATATGAGATGAGTTAGTTTGCAAAACACCAAGTACAGTCGAAAAACACCCCTAGCTAGGGGTGTTTTTTTACAATTTTAGGGGTGTTCCAACCATTGCTGCCAGGTTTAACCCTCATTTTCGTAATCAGCGCCCCAAAATACGTAGGGGACAAGTGGTCTCGTCAAAGGCGGCGTTTCTCGACCTTTTACCTTTATTTTAAATGGACTAATAGTACAGGCAGGGATTATCTCTGACTTAATTATCCAATCTTAAAATCGCAACAACCCTAAGATTAAAAAATGTTTGCCAAAGCGACCCTACACTATCGTGTTCGTAATAATATAATCTACATTGTAATATATAATTGTATTAAGAAAAATGATTATATCTGTCAATCCGGTATTATGGCCAGGAGGTAGGCAACCCTACTTTGGTATTTTATTTTCATCTTTTACTCTCGAATGGTATTAATTTTTTCGAGAAAAAACATTACCGTAACGATCGATAAAAATTTAATCAAATAATTTTTAATTAAAAATAGCCTGGATCGGATACGGGGCGCCAAACCTGGCACGTTGTAATTATTTATAAAATGTATATTTAATTATGGATGAGGGAAGGTCGATTTAAGTCCGGATCTTGTACTAAATGCTTTATGGTGAATTTACCATTTTGTTTTTTCAAAATTAAATTGTTTCTTCTTATATAATACTAAGCCAATCAATGCGCAACTATACAGGATGATGTCCTATAGATGGATCAAACGAAGTAAGATGAGGTTATTTGCAATCAGAGCAAACACATGTTGTTTTCCTGATGGCTTCGAAGTAATTTGATATTTCATATTTTATATTTTACTTAAAACTGTTGAATGCCCCAAGAAAAAGCTCGATAAAAAATTATGTTTAACCCTAATTACGCCAGTGGCGTATCTTAAAGTATATTCATAATATATGTTAATGATTTATTTTCCAAACACTAGATGTTTACAGCAATTAAAAATAATTGTCAATTTAGGTAGATTCTAACAAGGCTTTACATTATTAATAACATTTTTTTATTTTATATTACAAATAAACTCGTGGTTTTTATCGAAAATTTAAAACAAATTTTTAATCGTTCTTGATAGTCTCATTTCGTTTGATATATGACTTATGGGACATCCTGTATAAAACTAACTGGATAGGTCGTTTATATTTCGAATTTCAAAAAAAATTATAGAATTTTCCAGTGAAAATCTATTGTTCTTAGGAATTTCCAAAAAGTGTATAACTAAAAATTGGGAGTTTTGAGATTTTAAAACATAAATTAGCTTTAACTACCTATTTATAAAAATAGTTAATTTTTAGATGATAATTTATCTACATTTTAAAAATATTAAATTAAAATATTAATTTTTTTTTTTTTTAAATATTTTGAATACAACTGTTGTATATTTGTGTGTATGTGTAATGGGCTCTGTCACGAAATCGCGCTAAACAAAATAACGTTTATTAAAATAGCGCTGAACGAAATAGCGCCCGATCAAAATAGCGCTGAACGAAATAGTGCCTGATCAAAATAGTGCTAACCGAAATAACGCCTGCTCAAAATAGCGCGTATTAAAAGAGCGCTTTAATGAAATAGCGCGTATCAAACTAGCATCAGTCAAAACAACGCTCGAACGAAACGGCGCTTAACTAAAATAGCGCCTTTTGAAATAGTGAGTATTCAAACATCATCAGTCCGAAATGGCTCTATCACAAACTACTGCCGAACAAAATAGCGCCATTGTTTCTGCTTAAACTTAACCAATGTACCTAACCTGTGCGACCTGTAGCCACCGCGGGTTGCTTCGCAAAAAATATATACATGAAATGAGATTAATAAAAAAACCTAACTAATTTACCTAACCTATGTGGCTTGGAGCTATTTTTTAAATTAAACGATCGCTCAGGCACAGGTTAGGCACACTAGTCTTCTAAATTTTCTTATTTTATGTATAATTTTTTTGCGAATCAACGCGCGATGACTTCAGGCCGCACAAGTTAGGTAAATTAGTTTAGTTTTTCTTTTGAGGTACTCCCTTTTGTTGTTTAAATTTTGATATTATATCCTTTTAATTTCTTGTTTTATTTTTTATTTCTCCAGTGGGTTTTCATACGATGTTTCAAGAACTTTTCAAATATATTATTCTTTTCTTGTCGAAATAAAATATTAATTCAATAATAATCATACCCTGCCACATACTTTTTAATTAAGACGATACAAAAGTTGTAAATACATATTTCAAATACCCAAAACATCTGTGAGTGAAAATATTTCAGATAGTATAGCCATGTCATGAATCAAAATTAGATAAGTCCCACTTCACGTTTTTGACTTTCAAATTTTATATAAATCTTTTCATCCGACAGTAACCTTCTAGCTGATATGTTTTAATCAACGTGAAACTATAGTTATCAATTGGTTTAATCTAAAGAATGATCGAAACATTTCCTTTTAAAAATGTCGTGCTTAATCTATTAATTATTTGTAAAATTCAATAATAATAAATGGGTGTTCCCATTTCAACAGTTTCTAATATTTAGTGAAAATATATTTTTTAAATTTAATAGTAAGATATTTATATAGGTAATCTATAGGGATTTCGTAAAGTTAAAGAGAAAGATATGAAACATTGTATCAAAAAACTGATGGCACACAAAGTATCCTGGGAATAAAATAAAAAATTTGATATTTGATATTTTTACTGGAAAAAGTAAAGCTAAAAAACGAAAAATACAAATTTAAATTTATTTCTAATACGGTTCTGGATACTTTAGTTCTAGTTATGCCAATTTATTTGTTCCATAAATCTAACTTTTTCCCATTTATTCTTATCTCTTCTACATAGTGTCCCTATGAAATAATGTATCTTTCTTGCAGTGTACCAGAGTATCTATTCTTGAAGATCAGGAAGTAGAAATTTTTAGGGAAGAATGAGACAAAAATATAATAACCAATATTAAGAAACCATATTTGTAATTTCAAAAGTGTTGTGCGAGCGGCGATGTATCCAAGAAACCATGAAAATTTCGGACTTATTTCAGTTTGTGCTCAATATCTCAGTAAAGGAAGGGTCCGACCGTTATTGTCATTCTACATACTTTTAAAGAAGAATAAATTTTCTACAAATTGAGACTAGGGTGACCTTTTTACAGCCATTTGTTCTCAAGATACAGTTCTTTGAAAATTGGCCATTTTTTCTAAAAAGTGAAATATTTTAGAAATTTATTTTGTGAAATATCTTCTAAAATACGCATCCCATGTCAAAGATTATATGAAATGAAGTTGTAGCAAATTTAATTCGCTTTCATTTGAGACCAGACTGGTACTGCAGACCCAGTGGATAAGTCATAAGTGGTTTGGGGGGAATGCAAATAAACTGTTCTCACGTCTTTTTATGGTTTTTTTAATCAGTTTCAATTTATTTATTTTTGTTATTGTTAAAAAATTGTTTGATGAAAAAAAAATACGTATATACCTATTGGGAATTACACCATCATCAAACATTGTATTATATACCTACATACTACAATGCTTGTACAAACATCATGGTACCTACTATAAGGACAAATTACATTTACACAAAAAAAGAAAACTAATATAATTCATGTAGATATTATGTTTTGGTTGCAAAATCATGCCTTTCTATTTATCTTAGATGATCCGGAATTGGGCTCGCACGAAGATGATGTCTCGATGGCTGTGATGGACACTGGGAGAGGCGCCCAGTTTGTAATAGGGTCATATTCATTGTCCGAGCATTGCAGCTCCACATCCGGAACGTTATGGCACAATTTGGCACCGCATGACTGGCAGAGGACTGAGCAGTGGAGCCCAGCCTTTCTGCCCGAGCAGCTCCCGGGACGCCCTTTCTTATATTTACATGAAATTTTTCGCAGAAGGACAGGATGTGCGGGATCCATGATGGTGGAGATGGGGGATGGGGGATGAGTCTCTGAGAAGACAGCTTCTACCCCCAATCAGTGGGTTTCAAGTTGACTCCCCACCACTTATGCACTTGGAGGTAGCACCTTGCTGCATGGTGGCCTGCGGCATCTTCCGTCGGTGGCAAAACGGTTGAGGTTTATGCTCGTTGAAGTAACAAACGTCTTATACCTCAGGAAATCCAAATTATCCCTCGCGATTTCACCCCCATATAGAGCCACAACGCATTTGATGCCTGCTTCTCTCACGGCTTGTGGGGTGAAGTCTTGCCGAAGGAGGACCTCCACTTGCTCAGTAAGTGGTTCACTCTTGCTCAGGGGTGTGGTGATTTTGGTCTTTCCGTGGCCAAACGGTGCTGAGGTGGTATCGCACCCGGCAAACGCGTGGGTGAATAGTACTGTCCCTGGTGATCGCTGGGAGTCATGGTGGTTGTAGTAGGTCATAGAGTAGTGACAACAACCAGTTTCGCCTCTCATGTTATTCTGAGGGCAGACGTTTGTTTCTTCAGCGCCTAAACCATTGAGAAGAATGAACAGGTCGATGTCTTCTCCCACTATGACTACCCGATCGGCTACTACTCTTTTTGAAAACGCCGTCATGACCATCACTCGATCCGCATCTTCTTCGACAACAGCCACTTCTACTTCCTCTTTCTGTAAGGCCTCACAAAGAAAAGTTATTAGGAGTCTCTTGTTGTTCTCATTGCCCAGTACATGCCCTTGATCAAATTGAATTACTGTAGATTCATCGAATTTATGACTTATGTATTAATGATTATCTGCCGTGTTTGAGAGAGCCTACATGTTTTAAATGAAAGCGAATTAAATTTACTACAACTTTGTTTTATATAATATTTGACGTGGGATGCGTATTTTAGAAGATATTTGACAAAATAATTGACCATTTCGAGAAAAAAATTACTTTTTGAAAAAAATGGCCTATTTTCGAAGAACTGTATCTTGGGAACCAATAGCTGTATAGAGCTCGCCCTAGCCTCAAGTTGTAGCAAATTTAGTCTTTTTTAAAAGTATGTAGTGACTATACCGGTCAGACCCTTCCCTTACTGAGATATTGAGCAATAACTGAAAACAGTCCGAAAATTTCATGATTTTTTTGGGTACACTGTCGCTCGCACAGCACTTTTGAAATTGCAAATCTAGTTTTTTAATATTGGTTTAGGTCCTAGTAACATAAAAAAAATAAGAATCGCTACCCAGGAGACACTCAAAACTATCCAAAAGCTAACTTAGAAATTAAAATAAATGAATCGTGTTATATCGATTCTACATCATCGAAATATACTTTCATAAAATAATATTTACCTCATTATGCTTTTATTTTTGTCTTGAAGTTGGCATAGAGTTATAAAAACAAGCCAAGCTTCTGTAGTTATAACTGACCATTATATTACTAAAATAAACTTATTAGTTCACGTGTATTAAAAAAATTCTTGTTGTGGGTTATTTATCAAATGTATGTGAATTGAATCTAAGTATGACAGGTGAATGAGTCAAAAATAATTTTGAGCAACAAACGTTTTATCGATCATAAAACAGTATATCTCTACTCTTTGGTTTTATCATTTTCAGAGATTCCACCTTCAATTCATAAAATTTAGTCTTATATGTATCCGTAGGCTGTGTCAAAATAGCGTTATTGTTTAAACGGTTTATAAAAATCGAAATAGCACCCAAATGGAATAGCACCTAGTTAAAATAGCTGGTATCGAACAAAATAGTGTTTATAAAAATACAGTTAGTCAAAACAGAGCGTCCGAACGATACACTACCTGAAGCCATCACTACGGAGTTTATTTACATAAAATGAATTTAAAAAAAAAACTAATTTAGCTAACCTGTACGGCCTGGAGCCATCGCTAGTTGCTTCGCAATCAAATTATACATAGAATTGGAAAAAAAATTTGTGCATTAGCGATCGGATAAATTTAAATGGCTACAGGTTAGGAAAATCAGGTTTTTTTGGCATTTTATATTTAATTTGTTGCGAAGCAAACCCGCGGTTGCCCCATGCCGCACAGGTTAGGTTAATTAGTAAGATTTTTTTTATAATTTTATATAACAAATTTACGGAGCATTCCGTGATGGCTCGGATGGCTCCAGGTGCTGTTTCGTTTAGTCGTTGTTTTGATCAGGCGCTGGTTTGACTGACACTATTTTAATAAGTACTCTTTTGATACGCGCTAATTCGTAACAGAGCAGTATTTCGTATCTTCACAATAATCCTGACACTTGTGCTTCTTTTAGTTTGGTGACTTAATGAAAAGGAATTAACAGCACTTGCTGTAAGACAGATGTTTACGCATTAAATAATTTTGTGAAGATTTAAAAATCGAATTGTTCTTGAGTTTGTAAAACATGGATATGAAACTTTTATGTAGAGAAAATAAAAAGTCTTATTTACTAAAAAATCTCCCTGAGCAAAACAAAATCAGTGACGTAGCTATCATAGGGCAGTTGCGTGCGAAGCACTGAGACCCCGGAATTATTTGTGGCCACGCCGGTGCAATCTGATAATTATATAATTATTTTATTGTATTTAAATTCGTAATAGTTTTAAAAATTCATGTTTTTAAATGTCTAAAAATTATAGCACAAATTGCAAAACGTTCTCAACGAAGATTGTTAGAGCCCATTTTAATTTCTACTGAATTAAAGTTTCTTTGCCAATTAATAGGAGAAAGTAGTATATAGTGGGACATGGTATAACTACAGTGGGACAAAGCCATTAGAAAGAGAAGACCTACCTTGTAAGCTACCAAAACCAAACTACCATGGTCGAACAGAGTGGGCTATAACAAAATGTGTTTTTGATTTTGATTCCAGTAAGCATAATATTTAGGTATTTTGAAGTTTTTTGAAAGAGTTACTTAAAATTTTTCTATTATTTTTATATAATTGTTTCATTTTTCGTTTGTAATTAAGATTACATTTTGACATGAATTAAATTGCTGTTCCATAGTGTACCACGTCTTTTCCCAGTATGTACCACTGGGTGGTTCTTATTGGGACAGGAGGTGTATACTGGGACACCTGACTTTTTCTTTAATCCTTAAACATTTTGTTGGTAAAAACCAAATAGTTGGGGTTCGGCTCTTGAGGCTAGTTTGTTTCGAGATATTGAGACCAAACTTGATATATTAACCGTGTTATCCCATTAGTACGAAAATAAAAAAAAAATCGCCCTTTAAAAATATACTTACAATTTTTCAATAAAACAATTGGTATCTACCGTATTTACGATTTCTTCTACAACCAAACCAAAAATTTCAATTTTTTTTATTAAATTTTTCCAAAAATATTCGACCTGAACTGTCACAGTTCGGATGTGGGGGATACTGGCATTTAAAACTAGTTACAGCAGAGATAAGAAACTCATTTTGGGCAAACTTAAATTATAGGCCTGATTTAGAACGTTTCTGTATAAAAAGTTTACTCTCATCATCCCCTACAAGCAAATTAAGTTACAACTGTTTCATTTAAAGTTTTAACTACTTTATTGAGGATGCCACCTCTCCATAAGGGACGTTGGTTGTAAGATTTTGACAGAAACGTTGTAAATCAAGTATATTATAAATGTGGCATAAATGAGATTTTTGTCTCCTCTGTAACTTTTAAATGCCAGCCCCCACATCCGAACTGTGAAAAATAAAAAAATAAAATTTTAGTTTGAATGTAGAGAAAATCGTAGATTTTAAATGTTTTCTTGATAACTTGTAACTTTATTTTTTGAGGGGGATACCTCCTCCATATCAGCTACAAGGTGTGGGGGAATTTTTTCTATGCTATTTTCATTTTTATAGGATATTATGCAGCCATATACCAAGTTTGGCCCCAATTACTTGACCCGAAATGCCCAACCAAAATATGGCGTGTGATATGGCCTAAACAAAAAAGTCACAATTTATACTACGCTTAGTTTATTTTTTATTTCTGTCAGACTTGCAGATGTACCTTTTTTATGGTTTTAGGTCTATTTTATTGTACTATTTTTTTTTGTTAGTTTAATTAAATTTTCCTATTATTTAGTTCAAGTTTTTTGGGAAAACTATTTTTTTTTATTTTTTCATACATTATTTATGTGCATATTTTTTACACAGGGAGCCAAGAAAAATATCTTGCACCGAGGCCCCCTGATCAAACTACGCTACTGTACAAAATGTATACTTGAGAATTAAATTCAACTTCGTTTATTAAAAAAAGATTTAAATATGTAATAAATTTAGGGAGAAATATTAGAACATTTGTAAAGGATATAAAGAGATACTCAAAAATTTATTGGTGATGGAATAGGGATTCAATAAAAAAATCTAATATCGAGTAATAATAATATATCTGTGGCAAATGTGTTAAATCCGATGCACACACATAGAATAATAATAGAAAATTTTTTCTTTTAAAAATATATAATATTTTTCCCACACATTGATCTAAAACTGATGTTGATGAGACTTTGATTTATATCATGAGGATTTTCACCTGCCCGTATGTGATTGTTACGGAAATTAATTATAGCATTTCTGGAGAAATTATATTCGTCTGTAAAAGGTATTTTTATTAAAAACTTAATAAATTATTTCCCTGAAAGAACAACTTCATGGAAGTGTAATTATTGATGTAGCATCCCCAACTAGTCATTGATAAAAGTGTACTTGTTGTGAAGGGAAGACCCAAATCATTCCATCTCTAAATCAGAGTGCGAAAACCGATTATGCTGGCTTAACACGGCAACAGCGCGTCATCGCCTGTTTACTACATTAAAAACATCCATAGGCGTAGGTAACAGTCGAAAAAGGAAATATTTAATAATTATTAATTTTCTCAGTAAATATTACGGGTGGAATGAAAGATTAATGTATAAATAGTTCGTTTTTTTACAAACAAAACACTTTTGAACCATGTTGATAATAGGTATGTCCTATTTAATCACATAAATAAATACATTAATAAATAAACTCAGAAAAACAGTTTTTACAAAAAATAGCTGCAACCAACCAAATACGAAGCACTTTTATAAATGAAACAAATTTACGAAGCTCTCTACAAATATCGTCAAATGTAGATGCGCTTTTGACAGACATAACAGTTCTTCCGATAATTTAAAGAAAAACAGTATTGCAAGCTGATGCATTTACATTACTACTATTAAAAACACCGTAAACTTGGCATCAATGTTCAATCAGAATATTGTATTTCTGCCAAGGATGCCAATGTGTTGGCTTCAGAAATTTAGTAAATATTCCTATCTATCTTGGTTATATATTTATGGATGTAGCCGATTAAACTTAGCTACCAAAAAATAATTAGGTTAATTTGTGTTTTAGTTTTACCAATTTATGTATAACTCAAAATTACTAAGATGCTCTCAGGCGCTTTTTAAAGTGACGCTTAACAGTAACAAGACTGTTCTATAGGAGTATTAGAGTATTAGCACTTCATAACCTAGAGAGAAATAAAAAAATTGCTCCGCAAATATTTATTTTATTTTATTGAGACCTACGGGCGACTTAGTATTTTAGAAAAATATGAAACTTAATTTATTTGAATTGATGAAATATGTTGGCCCATTTTGATTGATTTGTTATAAATTTATCATTGTCCTTTATTAATTGTTATTATTATTTCTTTGAAATATTAATGAATGCTTTTTTGTTACAGGTATGTTGATTGTTATTACTTTTTGAAGATAATAAGTAGGTAAGTACAAATGCATTTATGG